TTCAGCCTGGAGAAGAGAAGGCTGAGGGGGGACCTTATTGCGGCCTTCCAATGCTTAAAGGGGGCCTACAAGAAAGATGGGGGCAATCTTTTTAGCAAGGTCTGTTGTGAGAGGACAAGGAGTAATGGTTTTAAACTAAAGAAGAATAGATTTAGACTGGATATAGGGAAGACGCTTTTTACACTGAGGGTGGTGAAGCACTGGAACAGGTTGCCCAGAGAAGCAGTGGAGCCCCATCCCTAGAAACATCCAAGGTCAGGTTGGACGGAGCTCTGAGCAACCTGATCTGGTTAAAGCTGTCCCTGCTCACTGCAGGGGGGCTGGGCTAGATGACCTCTAAAGGTCCCTTCCAATCCAAAGCATTCTATGATTCCATGAAAGATGAGACAGAGAAAAGATGACATGACTGGCCCCCCAGACAAGTAAATAACCATGAAGGACTATAAAAGGAATAATGTTTTCTCCCCAACACATAAGCCAATCTATGCTCTCATTCTGTTGTTGTTGCTTTTAATATGTTCAACACAAGCTGCTTCAAGCTATTCAGAACAAAATACAATGTGTGTATATATAGGACACATCGATGAATGGCACACACAGCAGATGTGCATATTCCCATTGACATCAACTACCAGCACAAAAGCTACCACGCATACAAGAAAAACATTGAGAACCCTTCTCTTTTTTTTTTTTGGCCAGGTGGGTGTATAGTCATAATCTGAAGCATGAAAAAATTAACATCCTTCCATTTTTCCATCTAATTGAAACTTTTTTTTTAAACAGCTGCTTCTTATATAGCATTTCTTTTCCAGTCAGTTAACCGATACTGAAATTCTAGCCTGGCACACAATTCTTCATTCTCTCTATCTACCCTTAACATCAGTTGATTTGTTGTCCATAAAGAGGTACTGAACAAAGGTCTGCCTGCCTATCTCCCTTTCAAAACAGTATGCAGTGATGAAATCACACATATTTACAAGGAAAGGTTCTTCTAACCCTAGTGCCTAGGTGTGGTAAAACTGGACTTTGCCCTACAAGGTGCCATGATCCTTTGATAAAGGATATTGAAATTCTAGCTTTCCAAGGCTAAGATGAGGAATCTTGCTTCTTTGCTCCTTTAAGTTTTCCTAAGTAATCATTCTTCAGGAACTAATTCTGAAGAACAATCTGCGGAATGAAAGAAAGAAAGAAAGAAAGAAAATATACTGACAGCAGATTAGTCTAACAGGGTTGCTGAGGACAGTTGTCATATTTTACTACTAGTTGTATTGTAGTCCCCATGTTCAGCTGCTGGCAGAAGTACAACAAAAACACCGCTATGGCCAAAAGAAAATGCAATGCAACTTTCTGCCCTCCTGCAGAGACCAATAATAATCTCTCCAGTTTTTTTTTTTTTTTCCTGCTGCCCTGATTAACAGCATCAATAAAGACAATTTCATTATGTGAGGGGTGAGAGACTCAGCAAATCATTCCAGCTGTTTGTCTGCTCACTGGAAAATGTTTCCATTGCTTTTCAGTTATTGCTGGTATACGCTAATTACAAAAATGCCCCAGAACAGTGTGACCTCATTGTTTGACTCCACATTGGATGCTGCAAGATGCTAAGCTCTTCCCATGCTGAATTCCACATCCTCAGACCCAAACATAAACCAAAATCAATATTCAGCTTTGTTAGGAAGCACTTAGCTCCTTAAGAATGAGACCTTTACCTATGATTGCCTCAGGGTACAGAGACACATCCACCATGGCCAATGATTTCCTGGTTGGTATCAGAGTCAGCCACATGATACCATGCTCTTCCATGCATTATTTGCAGAGCCCTGTGTTAAGGGAGAAGCAGGCATTCTCACCTACTAAAGTCTAAATGTCAGTCAGCCTTTGTAAGAGCAGCTATAACTGGACTAACATCTACATTTGCACCCTAGAGTGAATTTGTTTCCTCATACAGAAAATATTCAGATACCTGGTCACAGCTGTTGTAACTTCATCATCACTGTTTTGCACCAAAACCCAGAAGAGTTGATTCAGGACTACAGGAAGAAAATTCATAATTACATGGATCTTCTCGATCTTCAGCAAATTCTGTAATGGATGTAAGAAAGAAAATGAGAGATTTCCAATACCAGCAATGAAAGGTGATTACTTGCTTTCCTGCTTCAGCAGGTAAAATGCAGTGCAGCCACTGGTGTAATAGCAGTAGGAAAACAGGGCAACCAAGGAGAGGACTGGTTTCCTATGGTGTTTGTTTTAAACACGACCATCAACCCAACTGTAGGTACTGTCCAAATTTCAGAATTCCAATCTTTTGCTTTACCCTGACTTAAGGGGGGAGGAGGCAGGGGGGAGAAACCAAAACCAATTTTCATACTTTACTAAGGATATGTATGTAAGAGCAATACCAGAACTCAATTACAATTTTCAAGACGTGCATTTGCTAGTGTTTTTAGGAAAACTCATTCTTTTTATGAAGAGGTCTGATAAACTGAACTCGTTGTGGCTAAAATACTTATGTTAAAAGCACATCAATAAAAACTAATATTAACACTCTAACCTGACTGGACTGACATTATATTATCTTCTCTGACCAAGGAGTATATTGAACTTTTAATTAAAAAAACCCCTCCTTTGAATTCCTCCTAGTTTTTCATTTCAGTCATTTCTAAATCATTGCAGAGTTTCTTCAAAGGTATTAGCGATTGATAAATAAAAGCAAAATACTCTAGGGAAAATTACTTATTCCCTGGCTATATTGCATAGTTGATCCCTTGTTGCATACAACATTGTCTCCATTTTCTAATAAAATTACTGAAATCTTTTTAAAGGCTAAACTACAAACAGCAAATAAAGAACAGTGCAATTCTGGTAGTTTAGGTAGCTGACTTACTGTCTAGAAAGTTGTGAAGCTTTTATGGATTCCTAAACTTTGTCCAATATGCTCAATGGCTTCCCAAAAATTAAGGACTTCATTCTGTAGAGGTATAACCTCTAAATAACACTGATGCTTTGATTTTTGAAAACATCCTTTAATGATTTATTTGAATCAAGACAATATTTAAAAACAAAGCAACCCCTTTCAGGTTTACCTGCATCTATCAACAAAAGTAGTAGCCACCTTTAGGGACTTGCCCAGAGAACTGCCATGATTTATTGGAACTTTATTGTTTGCTTATTAAAGCAAAAATCTCTTCCCAAGCAGCTTTATAAAATCTGATTAAGGTACACTCCAAACAGGAAAACATTAACAACGAAGGAAAGGGGGAAAGCACCTACATGACAGTAACATCTAAACCCCAAAATATGTATCAGATTTTACAGACTGCTAAAAGGAAAAATAATAAATAAAAGTCATATGTACGATGTTTTAGAGCTAGTACTGTGGAACAGTGTCACAGCTACCCTTCAGTCTTCTTGCTTATCTTCCTGTTCAAGTTCAGTAAGCAGATTGCAAAGTGAGAACTCTGAATTTCACCATTCACGAACAGGTGAAGAATCATGGCCCTACATTTATCTGCTGCTCTTCTCATTTGCTTGTTATGCTCTTCCTTTCTCACAGGTTTTGACCTCTACTGAATACAGTCACCTTTAATGCAGTTCTTGCTTATTCGTTCCGTCTCTGCAAAAAGGGTATGTTCTTTCTGATTTCAGAACTTGACAGGCAACAAGCACCCTTGATTTATATGTGCAAGGTACCCTAAACAGCCCTTTGAATAGCATCCAGGTTTTTAGAGTGAAAATACAAAGAGCCAAGTAGGAGGTAAGCATACAATGTATCTAAGGCAAGAGAGGACTAGCAGGAATACTGCAGCTCTACAGGCTACAGTTCCTTTTCCTGGACATTCCTAGAGCAACAGAGCAACATTACACCACACTTTAACCGGATTTGAGGCTTGGTACAGGCTGGATTATCAAAGTTGATGGGGCAGATGCAGCCATGCTCTGAATGAGAAGGGATGGAAGACAGCTCTGTGACCAGTAATGCATTTGTCACACCAGGTACGTCTAGCTGCAGTTGTCATGGACCCATTGCCTCCTGCTTAACGTCTATGCCATGTTTAGAATTGTGCAGTGATGGATCAGTTAAGAGAAGGCCCTAAATACAATTTTATAGCACAGTTTGTGATGCATGTTACTTTACCTCACAAGAATTGACAAAGTTTGAGGTAGGAGGCTGGGATAGATCCTTTTCCCTTTCTTGGCACTGCTGGAAAAAATCATTCAGGTATGGATCCTAAAACAATAAAACATTCATATTAATGTATGTTATAGAAAGGATTAGAATTCAGCTCCATAAATTGGTTACAGCAATCACCTGTGACACACTTCATCCCTAATGCCTGAGCCACAAACCACAGAAAGACAGATAAACTTATTCAGCCCAACCCACTGGCCAGCACAGCTGGCTATACACAACTTATTTCTAGGTGCTTTGACCACTCTTTTGTCAGTGTTGCGAGCAAATAATTTTCTTCTCACCATCTAAGGGACTTCAATGGCCAGATTTTTTTTTTTTTCCTGGTGATCACAATTTATTTTCTTGCTGTTTAAACGGATATTCCATGATTTTTCTTGGTATAATCTTAAATAATTTATATCTTTCCTTAAAGTGTGTATTCCATCATTGTCATCTTGCCCTTCTACATTCAAATAGCGTTTAAACGTCAGAGAAACAAATTCATGCAAGATTTTGAAATATGTTTCAGACATTCCTTGACACTTTTTATTTGTAAGCAGGTAACAGAGCTAAGAGGAAATTCGGCTTACCTGTGTATTTACTGTCGATACAACAAAAGTAGAGACTTTGAAAAGTGGTTTCCCACTATCGACCCATTTTACATCACAGCCGATCTGCTATTAAAATGAAACAAACAAAAAACCATTTTCCCACTTACTTCCTACTTACTCAAGTCCGCATCAAATTTTCACTGCATAGAGCTTTGAACATGCATGTGCATGAACTGTGCTGGCTACTGTGCTTTCACAATCGCAGAATTACTGCAATACAAACCCACTTTTCAGGTCAAGCCCATGAACGTTATCATTCGGCCAGCTCACTGGTCAGTGAGTCTGCCTCACAGGACAGACCACCACCCTGTCCTCATGACAATAGTAAAACAAACACAAGAAGGCAGAAATAATCCAAACTGGACAGGATCAGTGGGAAAATATGATATCACACCACAGAACTGGAGAATGAATCACGATCGTGGATCATGTCAGCTGGAGAATGACTGTCATATGGCCTGAGTTTGTGAAAAGTTCTTTTTGACCACTCTCATTCACATTTTGGAGAAGTTAGCTATAATATTGTAGAATACAGTTACCAAATGCACTTTTTCCATATACACCTGTGAATCAGCAACATACGACTCGCAGTCCAGTGGTACATATATTAGTTTATATACTCAAGTATATGCACATGAATATTCCAAACCAGAAACCCTATTTATTGTTTACACTTCCAGGTAAGTGCAAATGCAAATCTGGTCTCATGTAAAACATCTGCAAGTAAATGCTCGGCGCCATTTGAATAATATACAAGTATGAATGAATACCTTTCCACTAGTTGGTTCTTGAAGGCTCAAGTAATTGGGAGGCAGACTGCTTGCCACTGGCACATTGTGTTCTTGGGAAGCTAACTGGGCATCTTTCAACAAAGGAAGCCATGCGTATCCCACTGTGCACAAGAACAAATCAATATGACTCTTTGGAAAAACAAGCTTCTCAAATTCAAAGGAAGACAATAATATCCAGCCAGAAATTCTGCAATCCTTATTTGAATGTACATCATTTATATTTATAATTGAAAGTAATTCTACTACAGGTACCTGGTGTTTCCAGAGCCTCTTTCTTTTTGGCATTAGCTTTTGCATTTATGTCACAGGTGACATGATAAAATGAAAACAGAATGTGGTGTTTCTTATGGAGTTGAGTGGGAAGTTCAATTTTCACCTGAAATGTAAAATGTTACACCTCACTTTAGTTTAAAAATCGATTAAACCAGGCATCAGAGATGGTCTAAATGAGTGACCTCTCTCTACACAGAGTACAGCCTGCCTTTACTGGCTAATGTTTGTCTGCATAGGTAATAGATGCTCTCTTAAGGAAATTGTTTAGGATGACCATCCATCACTTTTACTTAAAACAGCTTTTTTTGCTCTCTGTCTTGTGGATGAATATTTGCATTTATGATGAAAGAGCGTAAGATGAAAGAGGACAGAACTACAGAGTGATGGACCCTGCTTAGAAGTGATCACCTGCACTCTACCAGCCATAAATAGCTATAATCATTCCCATATTTTCAGGATGACCAAACCAAAACCTAAAATGACATCTCTGCTACTGCTTCATCATCGTTTCATGGCAAAGACCAAGTAATAATGGCTGACACAAAAATAAACTTTTATTTACATCTTCTGCTCAGTCTTAAATCCTGTATCATGTCATCCCTGAATCCCTACAGATTGGGTTTGAGGTATTATTAACCTATTGGAACAAAAATACAAAGTAATCAAAACATGTTACCATAGGAACTAGTAAAAAAGACTCCTTGCCCTTGTGAGATATGATGAAGTTTATCCAAGCTAATCCTATGCTTAAAGTAAGGTTTAGAAATTGTTGATAAATGCTTCCAGTGTTAAATCAGCTTATGGGTAAGAATCTAATACCATAAACATAGATACAAAATGGGCATTCAGACACGGAGATTAAGACAACTTTCTTGATAACATACCACATTCTTTTAAAGACTGCACTTGCTGTTCTAGGAACATTTAGGACAGGTGCACACCTCTTCCAGCCAAATCAGCTATTAAGATCGGAATTCAGCTCTTTGTTCAAGTTGGAAGTAATCTTCCCAAACCAGATGGTTCACTACCATCGCATGAAGGACATTTTCTGATGTATTAAAACCCAAAACACTGCTTGCAAAGTAGTAGCTGGAGTTCAAGATCTCTGAAGATGTAATGCTTTAAGTTCCACCTCAGTTCCTAAACATGAATCTTAAAATTGATACTTCACATGTAGGTGTACATTATCTGCTGGTCTTGCCCCTGCCATTTTATCAAAGTAAATTTTAACTGACAAAGGAACTTTTTCCAAGATCGAGCCAACAGTTTGGAAAATGCTGGCTATATATTTGCCAGTGTTATCACTACGCATAAAGCAGTAGTGGAAAATCCAGAACAGACACATGACATTCACAGGCCATCAAACACACTAGCTAGTGAAAGGGTGAAATTAAGCTCACCTGCAGAAAGCCTGGGGAATCAATACTTGGTGTTGGTGAAACATAAAGATGCATGTGCGACTAACATTCGGCAAAGGCCAATGTATGAACTATATACAGCTGCGTCCTCAAAAGCACCAGCTAAATGACTTGCTGCAGCCACTACATGAGACCACTGCATCAACAAAAATGCCCATTGCAGATCTTTATCTCAGAGAGGGATTTGTTCTGACATTTGGCTCCACCCTTCACCATAATGTTTACTGTTTCCATTAAACTCAGAGATGCAGCTGGACCCTTAATGTAATTCAGACATGCATTTTAGAGAGCTAGACTGTTCCTAATTACTTCTACAGCATCTTAACTGTACTCAGAACACCTTACAAAAGGAAGGATTCACTGATTTAAGAAAAAAAACCAAAATGTGAGACTGTATGTAAATCTACATAACACAGGCCCATCCAGATACACAAGCAGTTGTAACAGAAGTATTCTTTACATATGTTTTTCTGTCTCACTGGCAAACATGGGATTGGCAGACATTTACTGAAAGAAAAAGCAGACTGACCTCATCATAGAAATCAGGATTCTGGGAATGATGTAGCACAGCGGTGTAGGCTGCCGTTGTAAATAATGGTCCACCTGGCTTCCCATAAATACACTGATAAAAGTAACATGCTTTAATTACGTTGTGAAATTCTGCTGATGATACTAGTCTTGGTATATCTAATATGCATATACGTTGAAAACAACATCATGAAAGATCAATAATTACTTTGATAAAATATTAAAAGAAATATTTTAAGTGCTCAAACCTGCAATTTTTTGTATACACTTCCAGTAAAAGTCCATTGATTCTGTGAAAATTATCCTACACTGTACTAAGCAATGCAGACTCTAAGGACTTCTTCCTTGTTGTTACCAATTTTAGAGTTTTCTGCAAAAAGCTTTACAAAAGCTATTTCACTTTTATGCAATTCAATACACAATACAATGCCTTTACTGACTTTTCAATGTTACAAAAGCTATACCAGTTAACAACCTCCTTGCTGGCAGAGTCCAGTCTGGAGGCTCTTTATTATTGAGTGATGGCAACTTTATTTATTGGTGGGGAAACTACAGTACAACAATACTATGCAATAGCCCTTGGTCAACACCAAAGTTAAGAAATTAAGTCGTCTAACGTTCTTCTAATTTTGTGCCTCACTCTTTTCAATCAAGTGTCCTGAGCTTAGTGAGAAACATAGGGTAAACAGTAAATTTTGGAATAAGCAAGTTGCACTATAAAAAATGGTTAAGTTTTCTTATATTGTTTTCTCTCCCCTCCAGCAGACAGAAAGCCAGCACTGCAAAATGGCACTATGAGCTGGAATCATCATGACCAGCTGGGATCAAACAGAACCACAGTGCAAATATAGAAGGATGCATAACAACATTCACTCTTTAATTGTTCTGGGTTAGTATATCCCTGATTGCTGGGTTTTATAAGTAATGTCCTCAGAAATATTGTTCTCTGAATATACTCTTGTTGTGGCTCACCTTCAGTGGCTTTGCTCCTTCTTCATCAGAGCTTTTAAATTCAATGCACACTGTTATATTCCGTGCCTGAAAAGACAGGAATGTATTAAAGCTTAGATCAGAAATGGGGTACTCATAAAAACACAGGCAAACTGTAAGGGCTGAAATAAGCTCTTTTCAAAATCTAGGAGAAACATGCAGATGGTGTATCAACATTTAAAATGTCTTTAAGTCCCAGTGATATCACCAGAAATAGTATTTCCAAGAAGAACTGGCAAAACGCAAGCCAGGCCTCAAACTGTGTGGAAGCAGATTATAAAGTGACCAGCACTTACCTGTGTCTTGTCCTTAATTAACTTTCAATCACTATGAAAACGCAAGTAGTACTCAAGTTTCATTTAAGAACTACAAATATTATGCAGATTAGTTCTATCTGCACACATCATTTCATTAAAATACAGCCCTTCTGAAAATTGTGAAAAAGCTATTACCACATTATCTCTCTTTGAATCACTGATACAACTTAAAATTAATCCATAGATTCTTTTCATTAAAATTGTACCAGTGTGTTATGATTGCAAAAATTGAAAAAGATCAAAAGCCAAGTCAGTGACTCACATCACCATTTTCCCCTCCTTTATGATAGTACTCCTTCATTTCAATGAGAGCTCATGCAGTACACCACTACCCAATGTTGGCCAGAATTGGTCACATACTGTACCTTGTTGAAGTATTTTTGACTATCATACTTGAGGTGTTTTGGATATATGTATATTTGGTTCTTGTACACTCTGTAAGGTCGAGAATATTTTGTTGATTCCTGTACAAACTCTTCAACTTCCACTGTAGGTTGATGGTCCTTTATGTCATTAAATGGCTTGATTGGAATAAAAGATGAAGTTACACAGTCTTCAAAAGAACAGAAAAGAAAACCATCACATATTATGTTTGTTTTTACAGTCTTACTACTAAGAATAAGTAATACTGAGATGCAACAGGTCAAATCCTGCCTTAAACTGCATCCATGTTACCTCAAAACAATTACAATATATCATCCTTAAATAGTTTATCTCACTTAAATTGAACAGTACAGCACTGAAAACCTCTTCTGATGCACACAGTATTTGGTGGCATTTGATGGCGTAACAGCACCATTGGTATACAGACAGTTTCAACAGAATATACTGAAGTGATACTGTTTCTAATTAACTTTACAGCTCAATAACTCATTGAAGTTTTTCTATTAGCTAATAACATAGTAAACGAAATGAAGAAACAAGTAGTGCAGAACTAGATCAAATATATGATGCAACTGGGAAAACTGAAATCAGATCAAGAAACAGAAGATGAAAATAAGCACTCTGCCACCCAGACAGGGAGAAATCAAAAATGGGCAGAGTATACTCTGTCTGCCTGTGCCATTAAATCAGTGACACATTTAACTTCAGCATGGAGAACTCAAGGATGGTTTGCACAAAAGCAGCTGAGAAGGGTCACCAACTTAGGGATGTCCCAAGCTATTTCTGGGAAAAGCAGTTTGAAGGTCCTGCCTACAAATTCATTCCTCAAACCCTAGAATAACCCACAGGAAAAGCCTACCAATTTGTAGTGAGGAAGTGGAAAGAAGCTGGTGATCCCCTGTATACACTATGCCCAATTTTACTTCCTTCTCAACTAGCACAAGAGGAAATTCCCAGCTTCAGGATAGTGCAGGTCCTCTGCAGCTGAAGGAGGCAGGGGAGAAATGGCTCTTTGCCAGCTACAGCAAGGTGGTTTCTTTGCTTTCTTTCAAATAGACACTGAAAACTTTCTTCCCACCCTGCTGCCCACCCAAGTATGAATGTGTCCGATTGACTTGTACACCCAGCCAACAGACATAGCTCCTGAATTAAGCTGGAAAGATCCATATATGAAAACTTTTGTCTTTCCAATCAAAATTAGCGGCATTAAAGGGAACAACTAAATTAAATAACTTGCATTTGTCAGCCAGAAGTGAGCACGGCCTGCTGAGAAGCTTTGAGAAAGTTTATTCTCCCCACCGCCAGCAATAGTTCCCTGTAGATGATCACGCAAATTCCTCTGTTGGTCCGTGAATGTACTCAGGGTCACATACAAACTTTTGAAGGTTTGCTCTTCTGCTACTAACATTCCCAGTACTTGGGAGACTCTGCTCACTGTTCTTGGCCTACAAAGCTAAGATGGGCAAGCTTTCTGTTTGGGCAGATCTCAGGCCACCTGTCTTAAAATAGAGGTTGTGTTATGTCTTATGATTTGGCCAGCTGCCTCTCCAACTTCATTTATAAGCATTCTGATTGTCCCCATTTTTGAACATCATTAACCTTGTTTTTCATTAGAGAAATCTGGGGACCAACCCAATGATTAGAATGCAGTGCTAAGGCCTCTCTGCAGCAGTCTTTCTGTGCCCTCTGCACACTGCACTTCCAGTAGCCTGTAGAAAATCCACAGGGAAATAGAAATGGTGTTGAACTGAACACAAAAAGGGGAGTAAGTAATAAATGGAAGTTTTTAAATACCAATAGCTCAGATAGGAGAGTAGCAATAGCCTGTAGAGCATGAGAAGAGGCAGTAATAACAGGAAGAAGCCAGCTGGAAAATGAAGGCTCCTGCAGGCAGTTGTGAAGGTCTGGTCTCTCTGTACCTCACTTCCATTGCACAGACAGGCACATGGAGGCAACAACCCCGTTTGCTGCCACCCGCATGGCTCTTGGCTACAAGCTACTCTCCATGACTGCCCTCCACAAGAATGGAGCCTCACAGTTCAGGACTTCAATGGGTATTTTAAGGGGGAAAGCAGGGGATGTAGCAGCAACAGTACCTGCTGCCCTATTGCCAGCTTTGGGGCCCTGACCTTCCAGCGCAAAGGACAGCAAGCAGGGACCACGCAGCACAGGTGGGAGCTTCAGGAAGCTTTTTCTCTCTTCCCCTTTGCTAGAGCTACATGAGTTTGGCTTCCCCCATGCAGCAGAAAAGGCAGAAGTTTTGTTTCAGGTTAAACACTGTCAGACAACATCCCCTGATACACCACTGGCTCCAGCTCTTGTTGTAGCTATAGTAAATAAAGTCTTATAAAAACAAAGATCTACTTCTACTGTCCAATGAAAATTGATGCTAATGTCAAGCAGCGTACTGTCAGTCCCTAGAGACACAATTGTACTGGCAAATTCTTTACAAGATCTTTGGCCAACATCCTTTTCAGTTGCTTTGCTTGGCAGTAGAGGATTTTAGCACTAGCCTAGCACGACTTACTTTGGGTGGGGAGGAGGTGTTATAACTGGTTACTGCTATTACAAGGCTTCCTTCAGAGCTGGCTGAAGTCAAGAAGAGTTTTCATGGAGATTTTAATGAATCCTGCAGCATGGAAGTTTTCTGGTACAGTTTTTTAATTATTTTACAGCCTTATTCAGAGTAAGACAAATTTTCCCCATACCAAAGAAATGTTTAAGCTGTTACTTCTTAGTGTGAGGGAATTTTCATTGACTTTCCACAGGAACTAGCCACTTTACTAGCATATACCCTTTAAAGCCAGACTTTCACTTGGCCACAGTGCTCACCAAGTCAGGTAACAGTACAAGGCCCAAGCTGCTTCGGACCATTTTTCCTACACTGACCTATCGGTTTCTTTTAATTTAAAAAATAAAAATTGCTTTTGAAATGTTAGTGAAACTATTTTTTTTATCTAATACCATATGAAGATGGTATAGACGTGTGATGACAGACTTCAGAGGAATTCAATGGTCCTGAGCTTTGTGCAGCAGTGGGTCACAGAAATGTAGCTCTTGAAACAGAAAACTTAAAAAGAGATGAAGGGATCCAGTTAGCAGCATCTATCTTAGCAGTTGCTGCATTGATGCCAGAGTGGCCTCTCAATGAAGTCCTCCATCTAGTCTGCATTCTTGAAACCTGCTGCATGTCCCATACATGCTAATTCACAGAGGACATGAGCATTACAGCCCATCAACAGTGCAAGGCTATTAACCTCAAGCTGCAGAAGTCCACTCAGTTCTTTGGCCTAATCTCTTAGAGACCAAGAAGCGGTCCTTGGACTTTCATCACATGTGGATTCAGCATGTTGTGTTCTGTATTGCTGAGGTATATCTGGCCAGGTACAAGACAAAACAAAGAATGGCGTAATTAAATGAAAACAAATCAAGAACACTCCCCTGCATACATTTTTTTCTATACAACAATGGACACTTCTACCAGAACTGTCTCAAGGCAGCAATTATGGCTGGAAAGCCTATGACAATATCCTATTTAATTACAATAATTAATTATAAAGTGGAATCATACTTGGATGTTCCAAAGGAACACAATCAACTGCAATCTCCAAACAGCCGGGTATAGTCTGTATTTTGCTAATCTTCTCTGCTCTGCAATGACAGAAATGAAAACATTTTTGAGAATTAGAACAAGGGAGATGAGACCCATCATAGGAATTAATCTAAAATGAAAAAGAGACCCTGATTTAAGATGTAAGTATATATTAAACACATTTAGCATACACCTATTGGCTATTAAACTCAAATGAAATGCAACAGCAGAAAAGAAATGTGGTTTGTTTTGTTTTGGGTTGTTGTTGGTTTGTTGTTTTTTTTTTTTTTCTTTCTTGGCCTCATTCCTGCCTTCTCTTTGCAAGCAGTATTATAGCATATTTTGTAGAACAGGAAGAAACTGGTGAACCAAACCTTATGAGAATTAACTTACCCACTTTTTCTTTCCAAAATCTGAATCACAGAATCATAGAATCGTTTAGGTTGGAAAAGACCTTTAAGATCATCCAGTCCAACCATTAACCCAACACTACCAAGTCCACCACTGAACCAGTTCAGGGTAGAGTAATAATTAATTTCATGTTCCTGGCTTGATGGCTGGATTATTTTTTAATGAAAAGTAAAACTAGGAATCATTAAGGTTGGAAAGGACCTCTATGATCATCAGTCCAATCATCAACCCAACACCACCATGCCCACTAAACCATGCCCCAAAGTGCCACGTCTACATGATATTTTTAACACCTCCAGGGACGGTGACTCCACCACCTCTCTGGGCAGCCTGTTCCAATTCTTGACCACCCTTTCTGTGAATCCAATCTAAACCTCCCCTGACACAGCTTGAGCCCATTTCCTATTGTCCTATCGCTCACTACTTGGTAGAAGAGACCAACACCCACCTCACTACAAGCAGGTAGTTGTAGAGAGCGATAAGGTCTCCCCTCAGCCTCCTTTTCTCCAGACTAAACAACCCCAGTTCCCTCAGCCGCTCCTCATAAGGCCTGTGCTCCAGACCCTTCACCAGCTTCCTTGCCTTTCTCTGGACATGCTCCAGCAACAAAATGTCCTTCTTGTATTGAGGGGCCCAAAACTGGACACATTATTCCAGGTGCGGCCTCACCAGTGCTGAGTACAGAGGGACAATCACTTCCCTGCTCCTGCTGGCCGCACTATTTCTGACACAAGCCAGGACGCTGTTGGCCGCCTTGGCCACAAATCAATCAAACGTTCTCTAAAAGGAATTCAGTGACCACTGAGATGAGGTCACAGCATCATGGCTTCTGCAAGTGCCATGCTGAAAAGGGACCAAGACATATTCCTTGTGCCCAAGCAATTTGGGAAGTGCCAAAACTGTGACGCTAAATCCCTTTTATATCCAGGAGATGCTTTGGACAGACAAATCCAGTAGTGGCAACTTTAGTAAGAGTAGTGACAATTTCAGTAAAGTTTCCTGACCAGCAACAGTAAGATGGCACAAGAGATTAAGGGCCCAATCCAATCCCTGCAGTTGACATTCAATCTTTCTATGATCTGATTTTATATAAATGGAACAGGAGAAGTTAATTAGATTAATTCATTTCTAGGCACATTTAGAATAGAAGGGATAGGAAGAAATTAATGGTTCAATTCTCATGTCGCTTATCCAGTATAAACAAAGACTCCGCTCTAGAATTAACCTGATTTACACCTGTGTGAAACACTATCCAGCCAAACCACTACTCACTAATTTACACACTGTCAAACATTTGGAGAAGTTTTTTCCTTCCAATGTCCACTCTGCAGTTTGTCATGGAGACTCAAACAAACAAAAGCAAGGAGTGGGGAAACCATTAAAGAATGCTTTTAAATTTTTCTCTCTCTCTCTTTTTTTTTCTTCTCTCCTCCTTTTTTTCCCTGAGATAATATTCTTTTGTTGGTTACTTCACTTCCATCTCCCCTGATGGAAGCTAATTTAAGGAATCACTACCTTTAGGTTATAATAACATCTATTAATATGCCAAATGACATTTCAGTTTTCCTGGAAAGTCCAACCTAAAGCACTCTTTGGCAGGTAATAGGCTAATGTGAAAAACACTAATTTAATATGGCCACTTCGGCACACTGTGTTAAACGAAGAAAAAAAGCTGTGAAAATTATTCTGCGCAGCTTTATAAAGCTTTTATTCCTTCTCAAACCAAATTAAAAACTGTTCCTTACCTTCTGTATTCTGCTATTAGTTTAATCAAATCTTCCATGGAAATCTTATTACTTTCTTGCCTGAATAAAGGTGAGAATCGGGAGTCTCTGTCAACATTTCCCTGATTATCTTTAAACACTGGTCTACAAAGAAAGAAAAATGACATGTTTATAAACACACACCTATATGTATATATTTGAACATTTGAAATTGTCGTGTAATCTTTTAACAAGGCTATGATAAGAATTCTTACACAAATTCAGAGCTTCAGACCCCTGCAGAGCTTCACACAAGAAAGCTCTTCCAAGCTGTACGTTTGCAGGAGCATAGGTAATTTCAGTTTACTTGCACCTGCAGTCCCAGTCCGGCAAATACTTAAGACCTTGTTTAATCTTACACAATGCAGACAGCCCCCACTGACCTCAGGTGCAGTGTGACTGCTCACAGGTTGGAGTTGCTGGGGTTTAATGCTAGAACAGATCACCATCGAGTTCAGCATCCACCATTTTTTCCCCCTGTTCTGTGCCTAAGCCTCACTTGAGAAAGCTGTAAGTGTACAGCACCGCACTGGAGCCAGCTCTCTGCTCCCACCCCCCTCTCCATTGCCTTGGCTGCAAGGCCGCCTTCTCCAGCCTCTCGGCAAGCTCTTGGGGCAGCCTCAGAGAGGCGTCCCTGGCTGAGAGCCACTACTCCTGAGCCTGATGGGACCTTACCAGCTTGCTCACACATCAAGGACATGACTCCTCACTTCAACAAAGAGACTGACTCCTTATTTCAAGGAAGCATTTCAAAGAATTCGTTACATCAATAGGTAGCTTCATCCAAGAAGTTACTATCCAATGAAAACCATGATAATTTTAAATAACAGAAATCATAGCAAGATGTCAAATCCCAACTACTACATCTCACCATGTAAAGAAACGTATGCTTTTGCAGAACTAGGTTACAGACCTCTACTGAATCTTCTTATGCATTAAATCTGTTCTGTGTCCTCCAGGAGCATGACACCAACTCACTGGGGCTTAGCTTTCCTTCACAAAACAAGTTTGTGGAGCTTTGACTAAATTTTTGGTGAACCAGCTACAAAGTGCCAAAAGAAATGGAAAAAAAGGATATCCATCTATAACTGGGAACGATAATTATCAGCTGTTGTGTGCACAGGAAAACATTCCCAGATATTTCCATTCCCACTCATTGACACTTGCAGGATTTAATTAAGATATTCCAGTGCCCTTTGTATATCCCCAAGGGTCACACACGCTGGCTGGACTGGATAATGTAACAGCTATCCAAATTAATGAACCTTGGATTCAACTGTAGCATGCAAAAAACATTGCTTAACAAAAGTAAAATGTTCTTGACGCTAAGTGCTGTTCTGTGAATCATTTGGCCAATCTTGCTTCCTTAATTTACTTCTCTGTTCCACTGCCAGTGAGAAGAATTGATGCCAGCACAAATTGTTGCCAGATGCAAAATAATGGAGTAAACCTTTGGAAGAGGATCCCAAGGATAAGTATAAATGCACCGTGTCTTAACTTAATTAACTGAGAGAAGCACCGTTATTCCATTTCTTTGTAACTGTAGAGAATAATCAACTCTCTTCTATCAGATTTTTGCCTCCAGCAGTTAGAGGGAGTAAAGTCCACACCAACACGACATGCCAAAAATCTTAAGTTATTAGGCAGAAACCAGACCTAATTTCTGGCAGCCACCACTTACTTTACAAATCCTATTAAACTGCTGTGAGGGAAAAAAAGAAAGGAAAAAAGATAAGATTTAATAATTATTACAGTATTGGTGACACTATGATAGTTCTTGGACTCAGCACTGCTTCCTTCTCCAGACTAACAGAGAGGACTAAAACATCCAGTGAGTGATTTCCACCATGCCGCTGGGCTCTGCAATGCGATGCTGAGCAAACCCAGGCTCTGCTGGAGCTTATTAACTAATTCCAGTGTAGGCTCTGACACCGAGCAAACCACTGCTCAGCACAGCAGGGTGTAGGGGCACTTACCAAGGCAGGGCTGGGGATATTCATAGTGTAAAAGGAAAAAAAAAAACAGGTCTGTGCTGGAAGTAGCTCACTCTGGGTCAGTGGTGCTGAGCACTCAGCACTGCCTCCCAGGAGGCTCAGTGACACAGCACTGGTCGCCTCCTCTCCTACGGCCACTCTGGTTTGGAGTCAGAAGGGCTTTACAGAGTCCTCCTGCCTACAACCACTCCTCCCCAGCATCCGTGCTCCCTGGGTATCATATACCCTACCTCTAGGACTGCTCCTCGTCAGTTCAGCAGCATATCCCAGCCTAAATAATACACCCAGGACAAAATTAAAGGCATGAAACCAGGTATCCGCAACACAAAACAGGTAAGTGTTTTTATCCCTCCAACTTACACGCAATACTCCATTTCTGTAAAGCTCTTGTCAGTACAAGAGCAATTTAGATGTCCATTGAAAACAAGATAATCCTTCTTAAAAACAGGTATGTTTCATGCACTCAGGGAAGAGTTAGATGGCTTTCTGCTGGTCAAACTGTACTGGTGTCTCCATTCCCCTGGTTCACTAAAGCTGAAGAATTGCCAGAGCAGCAAGTATTACGTGTATTACATCTGCAGTTAAGTAACCGCAATCCCATGTTTTGCTAGATCCTTTCAGGCTGCTGGGCGCAGGTGGAGCAAGAGTGCTCCTTGTCACAGCGAACATACTGAAGGCATTTGAGAATGACAACTGTTACATTGAAGAAAAGGAAACACAATAAACCACTTCTACAATCCAGGAGTCCAGTATTTGTCTAATATATTAACAATTCCTGACTATTGGTTACTTATTTAGCAGTGATTTTAATTAAAAAAAAAAAAATCACAGAACTAAAATCCTGAAGAGATTCTAAAGGTGTTAATTTAGGGGAAAACAAATTAACAGATTTCACTAAAGAAACTGAAACATCATCTCAGTATTTCAAATGTTTCTATGATTCTACTGTTCTGACATTGTTAGCTGATAGCCCACAATCATAAAAATTCTTCAAGAATGGAAAACCTACACAAGGTACATAATTTAACATTGAAAAAGCTACTTTTTAAGTAGTGGCTTACAATTTGTGGAAAAATTGCTCACCTTCAGTGTTAGAGATTCAGTGTGAGATCTGCAGCTACTATAAATGAGAGCAGCCTCACTACCTTCAGGTACATCAACCTACACCAGCTGAGAACTGAACCAGCAGCTGCACAAGCTGCTGAAGGATTCAACTACTAGCCTCTAAAACATGAAGTTTACGAGGGTGGAGAAGGTTTGAAGGAATAGCAGAATTTAAAAACTAATCCTTGTGCGTGAAGTTTCCCCACATCTACAGTATGTAGCTCAGGCACATATTTGCAAACTTTGGCAGTTCTGGCAGGAATATGAGAATGGAAGATGAATTTGACACATTGTAATTCTAACACATACGCATACCATAATTACACCTGAGAGAGCATACAGACACCAGATCCCACCAATGCCAGCAAGAAATCAGGAAGGAACCCTGAGTCATGCTTTTGAACAATGCTAACAAACTGGATGCCACACAAGCTAATTAAGGGTTTCAGTCACATGCACAACATTCAGCTGTCAAGATTTTGGCTCACTGAACGTACACGTAAAAAATCACACTGTGGCCATCTGTAACTGCTTTAAGGGGGGAAAATTTCCGCACAAAACCAGGAGCGTGTTTAATGCCAGAATGAAATAACTGGAAAACACATTTCCAAACCCAGGGCTTTGCTATTTATCATAGCCAAACCATTTTTTCCCCTGCAGTGCGACAGCCTCCTGTGGAAACTTCTATTTTCAAGCTGCGGAAATAGAAATAGATTTTATAGGGCCAAATTGTACTTTTCTTTTACCAAAGAGAGTCCTGAGTAATGTTAATACATAAACAGACACAAATGAGTGCAGAATTTGACCCAATGAACTAAATAAGTTTCTTGTGGAACATCACTGATACCAACAAGTTCATAAATGTGGTGTATTTGGTCAATGATTTTTAAACTATGCTATCTCATAATGTGATTTATAATGAAAAAGTTTAAGAGCTGATAAACATACCCAAGTATATTTTCTGTAATTAATTCTACAAATGGGAGGAAAGCTTTTTAATGGTATGGGCAGCAAGGCACTGAATTAGGATGCCATCCAAAAATACTGCCTGCTGGAACTGAGGCATGTCCACAAACCCCAGCTATGTCCTCTGCCCATGTGCATGCCATCTGTGTAATGCACACATAATAAGTCTGTAAAATGTTGAACTCGCTGTGCATTTGCTAACACCACAAGCATATATTCTCATTTATATTTGGGAAATCACAGCCAGAAATACTGGCTAGACAAAGATATTTAGGAATGATTTGATCCTGTCCTAGGGAAAGCAAAAATATAGTATGATGCGGAGGGTGTTTTTGATCTTATTTTCTAAGATTGTGGACTGCACATTGAAAAAGGAGCATGTAATTTCAGAGAGAATACCCAGTGAAAGAAGTCATTGCCATCTCTGAAATTGAGAAAGCATGGGACTAGAGCCAAGGGTTTCCATTGTCAAAAAGTCTCAAGGAAACAGACTGAGGAAGGCTCAGACTCCCAGGTATTCCCATACCCACTGTACTGAGCATCACACAAGCAAGCTCCTCTCAAATGGATCTCTATTGCTCTCATCCTGCCTTATGTCCTTTGCCACATTCCAGCCTGTGCCAATTAACCGTTCTCCATGGAATTACAGAAAGAAAATCTCTGTTCATTTACTCAATACATACTGTTGGGTGCAGCAACAGCAACTGCTGTGCTCCACTTATAAGAGTAATAGTTAAGTAGAGCAATGCATTTACAGAAAACACTTCTGCTCACATGGCTGTGGTTAATGGAAGCTGCTACTATCATATACCATGTTACTAGAACTCAAAACAACTCACATGCAGGTTTAAATCTGGTGGAGCACTATTTACTAGTCAAGCTTGATCTAATCAAGATTTTATTCCTTACTCCAAATCAATGTGGCTCGTTATTACAAAATAAATGTATGCAGTTATAATACTATGTCTCAGATGACCAAGGAGTTGCCAACTGGTATTTTAATGATAAAATATCCAAAATAACACAGAACTGAAAGGAGAGGAGAATCTTCTGAAAAGCACCATTTTCTCAGTAGACCCTAGCTTGACAGGCATTTAAGGTGCTATCCACCTTACAGGGACAGAAGTAAAACTTCATTCATGTCTGTTAGACTTCCCTTAGGCAGAGCAAGTGCAGACCTGCAGCTACAGTTCTGGGCCAAGGCACAGTACTACGTCATGCACTTGAGCAGTACAGCCGTGGCACATACACAGCCCAGCACCTGCGTACCAGTATAGTAACAGCACAGCCCTAACCCTGCTTCTGCCTGCCTCCTCTCACTGAGAGGCAACTAGGGGTTGCCACTTGGAGAGTCCTATGAAAGGGAAATGCACTTCCTTCAAAATAAGGAGAAAACCTTTCACTTTTTTTTTTTTTTGGTGAGAAACACCCTGAGATAAGATTTGCTGAAGATGCGGAAGAACGTTTTAGCCTTCTCCACATGCACGAGCCAGACCCTGAACTAGTTAAAATCATTATGCCACCTAAAGATAACTACAGCAATGACTGAGTTGCAGGACGTATCACTGACGGTACTGCCACAGGCAGGCAGGACAGAGTTAACAAAAAGCCCCAAGTCAGTCCGACGCCAAGCCTGTACTTCTTACCATTGTACGGTCCATTACACGCTAAAAGTAGCTCTGTCAACCCAAGAGACACCCATCAATCTAATTTTGATGAATGGTCCTTTGGCTACACAGAAGTAGTAAATATTAATGAGTATCCTTGAGCTTGCGATGACAGATCAGAACACATTATCTGCCTTTCTCTTGAGCATGCACGTACTTCTCCTGTTCCTACTGGATATTGACAAAAATGCATGTCAATAAAAAATAAATGAACTCTTCAAACAGCCATACCTTACTGTGTGTTTTCTCCTTTGCCATCTAAGCACCATATTCTAAAATCATAAGCTTTCCCCTACCTGCGGCAGGGGAAACTGTGCACTTCTGGTGCTCCATACCTCCACACCAGAAGCACACAGCCGCACAGGTATGCCTCACGGTCACGGGCAATGCCACAACATGACTTTTTCACCTACCACTTGCTCCTCCTTCCTCCCTACAGCTTCAGGCAGCTCTCCACCTGGCCTGCCATGGTCAGAACAGAAGCCGCAGAGGAGAAAGAATGCTTTCACTCGGCAATCAACAGCTTTCCTTTTCATAGGGAATATAAAGTTTTATATTCCCTGCTCTGTGCGTGGCAGAAAGAAGGGAGAGCTGTCACAGGGACACACAGGAGTGTCTCAGTCGGGGAGCTCTCTCATCCCAGGGCAGCAGTAAGCTGAGGAAATTACAGAAGACTGAGAAGGTAAAAATGGAGAGGACAGAGAAAGGAATTACATGGAAACTTGAAGGAAGAACAAAAAGAAGAAAGCCATATCTGGTTTTGTGAGTTAATTTGGTAGAAGGGGATCAAGAGGCACAGGGGTGCCTCAGTCCTGAGAGTGAGAGCAGCAAAAAATTATCCAGGAGGAGAAAGAGGAAGAGCAAAAATCCATTACTGCCACTGCACTGACCTGCAATAAATCCCAACTGACCTCCCAAACAAGAAAACAACAGCTCTCTGTCACGTACTAACCACTAAAAATGCGAGAGTACCTGAAGCATAATCCCTCAATATCAACCCCAAGGCACTGTTTTAGGGGCACTGAACCTCCAAATCCTTGGTTAGATTTTTCCTAAAACCTGACAGGCATCATAACAAGAATGGAGCTTCAAACTTGTGCACCTGTATTTTAGGTGGCCATTGCAACTCTATTTCAGACTGTAATTATCACTGTAGGAAATTCTTGTGAGAACTGTGACTTTGAAATCTCTTTGGTAATTTTTAGCACCAAATCACTGGTGGAGCTCACGATAAATTGATAATCTGTCAGCCACCTTTGCTACTCCCTGGCAACTTCACTACATACCTGAAGAAAAGATTCCACCACAGTAACATTTAATGAGATAGTAACCAACGTTCAGCTGTGTGAAAAATAGGGCAATGAAATAATAAAGCGGCAGGATCTTCTGGGGCCCTGGACCACACAGAAAGCTTTGCTTAGCTTCAGGCAGAAAAAGCGGAAAAGAATAAAAGGATACAAGTCCAAGAGCACAATAAGCTGTAAGATGCTTATGAAATTATAAAAAGAATTAATACATACCTCACTGACCAAGCGAATGGCATACGGTATTTCCCCAGCTTGCTGCAGAACTGCTTATTGGATTTTAACACTTTTTGTGCACACTACAAAACAGAAAATATGAATTATTTCATCAATATCATTATAATATCTGAAATGCAGCATAGAGTACATCCAAGTACTCCTCTGCTGAAGGGGCTACAGTGGCCCTAAAATAACTTAGCCTGATACTGCCCATAACAGAAGGTTCTGGGTGGACAGCAAAAAACATCACAGATGGATATGATGCTGCTGATTAATTTAAACCCCCTCACTATCCCTTCAGTCTTCTGAACTAACTGCGTTAGTTGCACTTATTATTCCAGTTTTCTGTAATATACCCAATGCAGATGCACTGCCTGCTGTCAGAGAGAAATCTGTGCCTACCCCAACATCACTTGTATACAAAGTGCACTAACTCATAATTTCTAAAAGATTGCTGAAAGAGAATTTCACTCTGCTAAGACATAATTAGCATAGGAATGCACCACAAATGGATTCGTATGTTGCAGACAAAATGCACTTCATTCATTCAGTCTATGGAGCTTGGACATTTGCTTTCTTAGGCGTGGGCCTCCTGTGAGCTTTTCCTGTTCAGCAACCACACACTGGTGAGATTTGTGAGCACAATTTGCAATGTCTTCAGCTTCCAATAGGCTGAAGCTGACAAAGAAGGAACTGATGGTCCTGTTACATTACCTTAAAAGAATCAGGATTCTTAATGTAAGGTTCAGCACTGCTGGCAATGTTTCCCGTAAGCACTTTTTCTATTTTTGCCACTAATACGATCTCAGAATGAGGATTACTTATGGAGAAAAGAGCCTGTGGATAAAAGGGAGAACAGTTAAAAAGTATATAGCAATACTGGAGAAATGAAATACTGCCAGAGCTCTCTGTTGATGGAAACTGCAACAAACCAAATTCAGAAAGGATTACTGAGGATTATTAACTCTACATATTCAATACAGCCAGATGGAAAATAAAATCTTTGTGCTTGTGCTGAAGTAAGCTTGCACGCATGCAGCACCTTGCAAACAAGGTGCTTACTCAAGTCAAGAAGCAGTATGACCACGTTAGCATCACCTAACCTAACTGCTCCTCTTGCACAGTACTTAAATGCTGGCCTAAATCAGTCACACCTCAGGGGAATGACAGGGAGAAGCAAAGGTAATGTATGGGATTTCAGGGTAAGGCTTACAGCAACAGCAAGACTGGGGAAGAACTTTGGGATTAATGCAGCATCTAGGTGTCGCTTTAAGTTGCAATTTTGCTTGGCTGGTTTGGGAGAGGTCAACAAACTCAAAAGAGCAGAGGAAACACGGGCGGTTTCTCTAAATAACAGACACTAACTTTTTTCAAAGTTTTGACTGTAAATGGTTTTCAAGTCTATACAGGGAGCTCAGAAATCAAGCATCTGTATACAAGTACCACTGAGAGGCAAAAAAAAGAGTAGTCCTGAAAACAAGAACCACTGGTAGTACAGATAAATTCTCTAATGAACATGAACACTACTACTGAACTAAAATAAGTCACACGAGTCACTAAGTCATGCAAGTCACATGTGGAATACCTGTTTTGGGTATTTCAGCCATTCTTCCGGGAACCCCTTGACCTGTGGTTCTTCCATTTCATTTGAGTCTGTATTTTCAACAGTGCCATTTTCTAATGAAAACGAGGAACCTGAAATCATCTGTCTAACGAGTGTGTGGTTCAAATCCACATGAAAATCAGCAGAGATCTTCCTGCCATCCCTGACATCATACAGCGCCACGCTCACAAAGAAAGGCTCTACCTGGAGAAAACACCAAAACCATAATATAGCAGTAACTGAGAGCAAGGGAGTAAACTCTACCTTTTCATAGATTTCTGCAGCTAGAAGAAAAGCAAGCAAACAACTATTTACAAATTATGAGATTCATTAAACACACATGTTCACACACATGCTTGCCAAAGTTAGTTTCCAACCATATGATTTTAGGGCTTTTAAAGGTAGTTTGTTAATAATGTGACAGAACAGTAATTGACAGCTAACTTGGAAACTCGTAGAATAAAAACCAAACATATTTGTCACAGACAATTATTAGAGTAAATGAATAGAGCCCCTGAGAAACATGTTAGACGATTTTTAAAATGTAGATTCAGAGTCATTATAAAAGAGAGTGAGGGTGGGCTTTCCAGGGATCATCAGAAACGCGGCACAAAGATGACAAATGTTTACTGGTACAAACACAAATGCGTGGGTGTATTATTCTGTGAGAAACACATGTTCCATTTTGCTATGAAACCAAGAGCATTCAAACCGCTCTGACAGTACCCACTTATTCTATCGCATAGTACCAGGGATTTAAGCCCTATGACTGTAAGTAACCTCCAAAGAGCCTCCATAATTCTGATGAAATAAATCAGTCTCAGAATAACACCTTCTGAGCTGTACAGAAATCAGAATCTTAAAACTTTGGAGATAAGGAACAACGCATGGCAGGTACAATATCCTACGCTTTTTCAGCCTCTGCAGTGAATTATTGCATGCCCTTGGTACAGTTACCATGACTTCATTTAAACAGTTATTCCAGTCTGCCAAAAAAAAGTATTGATTACATCATGCTGAATATGCACTCACTGTAGAGGTCATCTTCAAATGAAGGGGGGGGGGGGGGGGGGGGGGGGGGGGAAAAAATTAATGCCTCATACGTAACATATGAAAGTTGAGTTGCCAGGACACTAATTTCTCAAAACTTTCCTGCTTCAGAAGAGAACTAAATAAAAGCTATGGACTGACAGCTACATCTCACTTTTCTGTGCCCTTTTTTCTTAAAGTAAGGGAAAGCAAAATTTTCTGGTTTGTCCTGTTCTTAGCTGGGCTTTTCCACTAGATGAAGCATCCAGTCCTTTCTATTTTGCCTTCTATTCTGTAATTTAATTTGCTTGGTTCCTGGTCTCTCTCTGAAAAACAAAAAGCAGTTCATTAGCAACTGATATTCAGTTCCCTCCCTACATAGGTCTTGGCAGTTTAAACCGTTCTTCTTACACCAATTGCTAAGGATCCTCAAGGATTTTAACATTTTTAATTCCCCATTGAACTGTAGCTAAAAGTCTGCCATCTAAATCAACTTCAAAACGTTTACTGAAAAGTTCATCAGTTCCATTATTCAATCCAAAGGGATGGGCAGAGGAGGAGGAGTGAATGCAGTACGCGTGCATGATACAGCTTGCCTTTTACCTTCTCTTTCCAAAGTAACAAGTGCACAGAAAGGGCAGGGAATGAGAGAGAGAGAGAGAAATCACAGGGAAATAAGTAAAGCTTACATTTGTTGAAGGATCATTCTCATTTTCAGTAACACAGGCCTGGAGATTCAAACTGAGGGATTTACAAGTTATCAGGATTCTCTTTGCAGGCTTTTCTTCAAATGGCTTGATCACCGAGTTTGTCCCTGGAAACTCCTTTTTCTGAGGATTCAATAACTGAAATAAGTTGGGCGATTCGTTATATATGGGAAAGCATGGCATCACAAAACTAAGCTTTTTAAAGGTCTTGACAATCACTGAAGCACCTGAAAACCTCAAAAAGTCACTGCTGATATTGTCACATTACTATAGTAAATGAGTGTTATTCCGAATTTATAGATTAGGAAGCAAAGCAAAAAGATTGCCTGAGGAAATATATAATGTCAGAGGCAGAATTAGGGATCCAAGTTAGGTTTCTTGTAATTTTAGAACAGATTTTTTTCTTGTTTACTTACTGCTTCTGAAACTTTAGCTTTTAATTTCGTCATATAGGTTAAACAGCCTCATATTTTCAGACTATAACACCACATTTCAGGATTAGATTTCAGACCTTTCCCCTCCTTTCCCCTTACTTATACACCACGACACCATTTCAATGTGCTTAATATTTTTAATAATGGCGCTACAGTTGATTGACAACAGGTTCAAGTTTGAACATATACTGATCCTGATTTTACTTAAGTCTTCTTTTTAACTAAAATAAAGTTTCCAGTTAAATCACCAACAAATGCACATTCAGTGCAAGGAATAGCATTCTTTGAATCATGAACACTGACACTAAATGATAAGCAAGCGGAAGACAAACAGAAAAGCAACCTGCACTTCCTACATTTCCAGCTAAACTGTTTTTTTCACATAGAATAGCCTTTTGTACCTCCAACTGTACCCTCCCACTGCTTTTTATATCCATTCATGTTTTTGTAGTCAAACTCAGTGTCACAAATAATGATAAAAACACTGTTCTTGTGGCATTCCCAGTCCAAGAGAAGGTTCTGCTCCTGTAATATTTTCAGTTTGCTTTAACGACTCAAAGCTTAGCTGGACTGGACTAGATGACCTCCAGAGATCACTTCCATCCTCAACCATGCTGTGATCAGATATAGGTAGAGTCTATACAGAAATCTCTATGGACTGGAGATAGCTCCCCTCACCCTTCAAAGCTGAAGTCTTGGGTATACCCAGTTGCTTGCTGAACTCAAATCCACTCTGGTGGCTTAGCTAACCCAGTTAGCTCAGACCACCTGTATCTTAAAACCTCTAAGAACTTTAAAAAAAAAAAAAAAAATCACTTACTGCTATATCAGGATCCAAAGAGAAAAGATTTAGACGCTCTGTATTTCGAGAGGCTTTCACCGTTTCTTCTGTTTCTGTGATGTACTGTGGTGAGAGATAATATATTAGTTTTCTGCCCAAGAACAGAAATCCATAGAGTTGTTAGACTTCTAAATGAATGAACAATGTTTCATTTGTAACAACACTTCTCATTTCTGCAGTAGTTATCCCAAAGCACCTTCAAGCACTCTTTGAAGGTTATATGCTTGTGAAGCAGGGATTTTCAGGCCATGATATACTTCTAAGGAACCCCAAAATAGCTCTATTAAGTAATTCAAAGTCACACATGTTACTAAACCATTGTGTAAGATGTCAGAACAGTGGATCACTGCACTAAAATCACTTTAGGGATTCCCAAGTTAAGGGGGAAAAAAAAAACCCACCCCCACAGAAAACCACTTGTGCCAGGGGGAGGGCAGAAAGTGGAGCAGGAAAGCGCAGCTCAGCCTTACAGGTGGGCAGACACACGGACTGCAGTGTGTCACCCAAAGGTAAGGCTGGGAGCCCTCTCCCCACCCAACCTTCTGCCACAAGGCAGGATCAGCCACCCATTTTATTTCTGATGGACAGATGGCTAAACTAGTAATAAGCTCTCTGCTAAAACCAACTCAACAACTCCCTGAAGCCACCTGGCGCTTTCCTAACTCCGCCTTTTAAAAGTTTATCCTTCTGTCCAACTTTGAGAATTTTTTCCCCACTATTTAAGCCCATTCATCCAACATGTGAAGTACGTCCTACGCGTTCCCTTCCCCTTACAGATCCCTCGTGATATCTTTGAAACCTTTTTTCTCAGTCTAAACATGCTCAATTCCTTCAGTCTTTCTTTGCATTTTGTTATTCCTAACTTTTCTTTATTTTTCCATCTTTGAACTATTAACAGAGCATTTGGCTGTATAGATAGATAGTATCTATAGTAGCTGACTGACAGAAGATTACAAACAGATCATACATTCATTTGAGAAAAAGCAGTGAAATATTTCCAATCTAGCTTTTCATCAAAAAGCTTCTTAGCACTGTCTACAATTATCTCATCCACATGAAGCAGTTTATGAGATCCAGAGGACAAAACACCTCCCCTGATATTACATGCATCTTTCAATGAAATTACAGAAGGTGATGAGCAGCTCAGAGTTTGTTTCCTTGCAAGTCACACAGGAAATCTTGGCTCTCCAAGGGCCAAACTCTTCTGAAATGCAGTTAGAAAGAGTAAATATTTCACAGATAACTGCAGGGACTACACCCTTGCTGATTTCACCGGTCTAAATCAAACCACTCTACGGAGTACCTACTTTCTTTACATTCAGTGGAGCTTTTCTCATTTAAACAAAGCCATCAGCTGTTCAGAAAGAAAATTATTCGTGTCATTTGTCATGGCTCTAACAATCAAAGGGCTGTGCTATATTTTCAAATCTTTCACAGTATTAATGATCATCTATTGGCAGGCATTTTTCACCTAGATAGCATTTTCCACTAAGCTTGTAAAGATAAATATAACATCTGTTACTTTTGCGAAGTCTGGGTGCAAGGTGTTCTCTGAAGAATCACTCTCTTCTTGAGAGCAATCGTAATTCACCGAAACCTCTGCAGGGTCTTGAAAAGAAGAAAAGAATATGCAAATGTTTTTATTATACTTGCTACTACTATTGGGTTTAAAAAAAAAAAAAAAGAAAACCTATCACCATGTTATTTCTTTTTATTCTCTTCAGTATCATCAGGCTAACAAATGGAGGAGATACTAATGTAAACCTCTGTCCTCCTCAACCTCATCTCCCACCGGTGCTTATGTAACTTAGTTTGTATTTAAGCTTTCAAACAAGAGGCCTGATTCTACTCAGTGAAATGTCCGACACATTCATTCATGACAAATATTCATGCCCACAACAAAGACACCTTCCTTCATTCTCTCAGCCCCTTTTGAGGCAACACTGAGGGTTTATGTCAACCAAAAGATTTTGGACTCTCAGCAAAGGGAGTCTTCAGTGAAGCAGGCAGGGCTTTACCCACTCTTTGGGAAGGGGAGGGATGGAGTCTGGACTCCATGAACTGCAAATCCGTGGATCCAGAGAACAACGCTACACAGCAGCCCCTTTTCTTTACTTAGCCCACCAGGGACCGTTCTGCTTTCACTAGGTAATTCAGCCCAATGTGAAATAAGTCATTACAGCCATTTAGGGCTCTTCTGCCAAGAAAGCATCATGCCTTTTGACAAGTTAACTCCATAGCACATTCCTGTTGCTTGTTATCAGGGTTTTTACCAGTAGAGACTTCTGTTTTGTGTTAGCCTTACGTCTTTGACCTTTTATGCACATATTTCTTCCTGTTTCATTAATATCCCTTATGGGTGGGATTTTCAAAAGTACTTCTCTGATTCTGAAGTGCAAGTCTCTTGTGCCTCCAAATTATAAAAACATCTTCGGCTACATGAAAAGTATCCTGCCCCTCCAAAATCAGAATTTATTATAAACACCAGGCTAAAGCCTTCAATTAGCTCTGAACTTCCCCAAGATTCAGATGCATGTGGATTCAAAGCTTTCATTCAGCTCAGAGCACAAGCAGTTCAAATCTGTATTAAGGTTTCAAGTGTTTTCAGTCTTAGAATTTCAGCTGAGGTTCATCCAAACTGAATGTGGATTTATTATGTGGACAAATGAGTTACTGCCACATGAAGAGTGCAGTATGAAAGCATCCAATTCTTTCTTCTGCAGTGAAAGCATATTAATATGCAAACTCACAAAAGCAAGAAATGAAAAGTCAATAAGCTTTCAGGGATAAGGTTTCAAGTGTTTTCAGTCTTAGAATTTCAGCTGAGGTTCATCCAAACTGAATGTGGATTTATTATGTGGACAAATGAGTTACTGCCACATGAAGAGTGCAGTATGAAAGCATCCAATTCTTTCTTCTGCAGTGAAAGCATATTAATATGCAAACTCACAAAAGCAAGAAATGAAAAGTCAATAAGCTTTCAGGGAAAGAACTGGAAAAAGAACTGATCTAGCCTCTATCCAGCACAACACTCTTTAAAACCTTCAGACTCCCAAGACAGTAAAACACAAAGTACTAGGAAGACCACTGACAGAGAGGACTATGTTTGAAAAAGAGCTGCATATGCAGAGCAGAGCCACACTGCTCCTGCTGACTTTGCGGGGAGCAGCTTTACCTCCCCCACAGCCTTTTGAAAATGATCTGTGGGGAGTTAGCTGACATTGTTCAGGGATTGCCAAAAGACTGGTGCTGCTTCATCAGAAATCAATAGGTGCGGAATCCATTACAGACTCAGGCAGTTAAAATAATTCAATAGTGATATCTGAAAGTTCAATTTTTTTGCATTTGACCAAAAAAAAAAAAAAAAAAAAAAAAAAAAAAAAAATTCACTCTTACCAAGTTTCAGATCAGTGAGATCTGCACTTTTCCTCTCCTGAATGGTTCCCTCTGGACTTATTTGCAGGATTTTGTTGAGAGTGAAAATCCAGTCATCCATATCCTGCTCATTTTCAGCTGCCAGCACAAAGTATGTGAGGTCATTCATTTTCAATTCAAAGGCATGTTTCCTAAGTCTGTTATTCTGTTGGAACAAAAGGAAAAGAAAAATAAACACTAGAACTAATTACAAAAAGGTGCTGAAAAAGGCATCCATGAGATGGACTTGTATATGGCCACTCCTTAAAAATAACATTCAAGCAAAATTCAGTGGCTTTAAAGAAAATCCAAGTAGTGTGACATTAATGCAAACTTATGTCAATTTATTGTTGGGTCTTTGTGCATCTAAGATCTTCCATGGCCAAATACACATCTTCTATTTAGCCACAGAAATCTAAGACTATGCACAATAACACTTCAAACTGCAGTAGGGAATACCTCCTAAGTGGAACCACGAAAGACCTCTGATGGCAAAGTACAGCATTGCTACATAAGTCATAGCTGTCTGGAGATAACACCTCTAAAGCCCAAGTCTCCTACACCTTACCAGCACATCAGACACTCAAAAAGATACTAAGTAGTGCTAAGTTATATGAATATTTGTTCAGTGGCACAGGACTGAGTTCACCAAATTCAAACTAGCAAGCAAGCAAAGTCGGCATGTGGTCAAAGACTATTCCATCCCTGACTGCTGAGGTTGGATCTGAATAGGTCAAAGCTAATTGTGAACAATTTATAAAATCTTCTGTTTCGAGATATTTACAGATGTTGCTAACAAGGTACATAAAGGTAACAATTTCTGAGCATTGAATTAAGTTAGAAACATTGTGGTTAGGATGAGAGCATTTCTACATAATTTTCTTCTGCTTATATTTTTCTGAAGGAGTTTCTGGATGATATGAGTCTAAACTTGGAACAGAAATTAACCAGTAAATCTCTCCAGAAGATTGCAATAGGACAAATTCCTCCACGTGAAAAGATTACAATGGGTACTTCCCACTGCTGCCTTTGTGTTAGAAGGATTTTAAAAACGACTAAGGTGATTTCAACAATACTTTGCAGGAGACAAAGGATGAGGTATAGTGCTGTTCAGTCATTGCAATGGTATCCTTTTCAAATACAGAATAAGAACCAACGCCCAGTATACTGGCAACAGATTGAGTTCTGAGATCTGTTCTGTATTACCAGATTTTACCTGCAGTAGATGGTTAATCCGTCAATTTCTGTCATAAGAATTAACAGGTGCTTAGTTACTGAAACAACTCAATAAAATTAAACAAAGTGATGCAATCTAATATAATGTGCTTCATTCCTCAAATTTATCAAATTAGTGAGGCTTTTATCTCTTAGTCTTATGGAAGCAGTTGCATCAACTGTCTCTCCTCCTTGCTTAAATCTGAAAGAACACTGACACGTCCTACCTTCTATTACTTCATCAAACTTTTACAACCACTGACTATGGACATCGGTGCCAACGTTTTGTTTTCAGTATTCCAGAAAATTCCCATCACTATGTTGACACATCTAACCTTTGAGTGATGCTGACAAATGAAAAACAATTCATCCACCCCGTAACTGGCCATTTCACCCAATTTCATTTTTCTTCATTAACAGTCTCAAATAACATGACAGCGGTATCCTGTAGTTCTACATACTATAACTATTTCCCAGTACAGTCCTATATCAACAAGTTACTAAGAATAGCTTCTAATCCAGATGGTGAGATGACACTGATATTTTTATTTAAGAGGAACAGAGGCAAAATCTGATACTGATTAGCTGAGGAGACTGAGAACCCAAGACACTGAGAATAAAGTTCCATGAACATTTTTTTTCCAGGAGCAGAGATGATTTAGAAGATTCCTACCCAATCTGTTGTTAATCACTTGCTCCAGTCTTTATATTACATGTCATGACCCAGCTAAGGAATCAGTTAAGACTGAACAACTTCTTCTGGAGCTACTCGGGTCAGAGTCAGTCAAATCTTGGCTTTTCAAACTGACTTGGGATTGTGTGTGTGTATCTGTGTGCGTGTGTGTTATTTTTTAGTTCTGCTACTGGAAATTATCTTGGTAGGAAATAGTTTTCCTCTGAAGTACTTTATTGAGGTGAATATTCTGTCAGGGATATAAATTTTAGTTCAACCAACACAGGGTAAGAATAGGGTTGGGTTTTGTAGCAATTTGTTCTCATGTGTCCAGTATTTTTCTTGATCCTGAAATCACTCTAATCCTCCAATCACTGCATACATTCAAGTTAATGTAAAACAAGGACTAAAATTTCACTGAAAACTGTTTTTACTGATATAACATGAGGGCTGGAGCAAGAGCTACAAGTTGAACAAAACCATGCCAAGAATCTTAGGTAGTGGCCATTCAAAACTTTACAATGAGGGTGGTCAAGCACTGGAACAGGTTGCCCAGAGAGGTGGTAGAGGCCCCATCCCTGGAAACATTCCAGGTCAGGTTGGACGGGACTCTGAGCAGCCTGATCCAGTTAAAGCTGTCCCTGCTCACTGCAGGGGAGTTGGGCTAGATGACCTCCAAAGGTCCCTTCCAACCCAAAGCATTCTATGATTCTATGATGATTTGTGTAAGTGGATTATATATACCAATTTATGCATGCTCTATAAATAAAAAGGCTACGTTTCAATTTATCTTCAGAAAGTACAAAGAGCAATAAAATCAATGCATTTCTTGTCTATATTACATACTTCCCCTTACAGACATGGCCAAGATGTTTAAATCAGGTACTGTAACAATATGAGACATTATCTAACAGAGCAATACATCTTGCATGCTGAATCTTAAGAACATCAGGGCAGGAAAACTTCAATATCCACTTTTCCATCTGCACATCAGACTTCTGGCAAGCAGATGAGATCTACAGCAAAGCCTTTGTTTCAAATCTAAAGCCAACTATTTTCTTCCTGATCAGTTAACAGGGGGAAAAAAAAACAAACCAAAAAAATGCACCATTTCTCAGTTTGCTTCTCTGTAAGTCCTTCAATATGGTATGTGGACCTTGAGGTTGACTTACAATCTTCAACACTTAATTCCAAGTTTAAATTTTCTTCCAGAAGGACATAATACAAGATTCAAAAAGAAACTATGGATGAGCTACAAATGAAACATCACGCTAAGTCTAATGCCTGCAGGGTCATTCTTCCAAAATAACAGAATTGTTTTGGAAGTATTTTGTATTTTATCTGGACATGATTTCTCCAGGATGTTTACTACAATTTAGATATTCAACCTCTATCAAACAGGAGCTCAAAGTCATTCATAGAGAGTTAAATGATTTATAGTGGTATTAAAACTCATTAAATCAGAACTTTCACATCACAGTTTTCCTCTAAATCTTCAGTTTTACCCAACTCTTTCTCTACATGCTATGGTCTCCCTGTTTATGGCAACTCTAAGCCAGGTTTTGTTTTTCAGCCCTATGACTCTAAGTTCATCACACACTTTGATAGCTGATGATACTTGCCCTATTACCCCCTTGGCTAAGACTCTCACTTCTTGCTTGTGAAGATAGTTCATAAATTTGTGCATCCCATTCTAAAAGTTAATCAAGGAACAATCACGAAAACCAGCGCCTGGGGATAGGCAAGAGAAGAACACACAGTTCAAACAGTCTGAGACAATTTGCAGGAATAGTGTAGATTTAGAAGGCAGCTGTCAAAGTTCAGGAGGAGGATTTCAAAGGTTTCTTGAGCTTTTTTGTCAGAGGTTAGTCAAAAAGACCAGAAATCTTGCAGCCAAGACATTTCTGCTATCATCGAGTGTCATCGGAAACAACTCAGCAGAACAGGCACCCTCTGGGATACCATTAAGTCGGTACCTAAAACCACACTACAGGGACGTTCAGGGCTTAACTAGAGATCTGGCTGAGACCCATCTTAAAAGAAAGCACACACTGCCAGCAAGCAGGAGCAAGCACTAATTTCTAAACAGGATTTCTGTGTTAGAATCTCCTCTATGGCTTCTGCCATACTTCCAAGCTACCTGTTAGGGTCTTTCAAGCCAATGGACTGACACAGGCAAACATCATTGTCCTCTACATATTTACCTCCATCCTGTCCTACACCTGTTTGAAAAAAGAAACACGCTTTTGAACTACACAGGGGAACAGTCACCCCCTACAGAACCAGATACTTTCCTGGGTGCAGGAATGAGGTTCTGCATGCGGGGGGTTGTCAGCAAATATTTGTTCCCAGAGTGAATTACTCACTGATTATTTTTCTTGCTCCAAAGGGCCTGTTTAGGGGTGAAGGAGAGACTTCCCAACCAACAAGAGTTTGTGTTTATCAGGGGTCTTCCCTTGCATCACCTGAAAGGTTTCTTTCAAAGCAACCCTCAAATCAGTCTGCATTAGCACTGTTACCAATCTTTACTGGTTAAGTAGTAAAGAATAAAGCATAGCTAAAAAACCCAAGGAATTTCCTTATTTACTGACATGGAGCTAAACATCTTGTTTAGAATGGAAAAAAGGAAAAGAGAAAAAAAAAAAGAGAAATAAATTAATAGAACTAGAGGAAAGGCAGAG